TGATCCATTAACTCGTTTATGACTCATTTATTTGTAATATAAATATCTCGACCCATACTTGACCCGACCCATACCCAATCCATACTCGACCCAACCCATATTATTAAAACACTTATATATTTAACTCAATATAGGAAAACTTATTTCTTATGACTTTTTTAAAAAATTATACTAATAAAAAATTTTCATACAATATAAAGCTAGTGAACAATTTTTATAATTTTTTTTAAAATTGAGATTCTGTTTGTTTCGTAAAAAATGTAACATTTTTATAAAATATTTTCCATGAAATCACTTTCCAAGAAAATAAAAAAAAATTCCAGTATTTGGTTGAAACCTAAAAATAAACTAGAAATTTTTTTCCGACATTTGGTACATAAAATCTGATTTCATTTTACTTCATGCATTCATTTTAATAGTTTTAATAATTTTATTTATTTTTTAAAATCGAATTTTTAATTTTTTTCTGTTTCTTTTACTTTTGGCCGGTGGCCGGCCTTAGCGACGGCCGGCCACAGGCGAGGATGAGCTCGCCATTCTGGCAAGGCCTCGACCTCGCTGGCCTCAGGTGAGCATCGAGCTCGCTCGATTCTGGCAAGCCGAGCCTCGCCAACCTCGCCCTAGGTCGGCGAGGCCAAGCTCGCTCGATTTCGGTGAGCCCGAGGCCTCGCCGGCCTCCGGCGAGGTCGTCCTTCCCCTGTGGCTGGTGGCCGATCGTTGGCAGTCGCCGTGGCCGGCCACCGGCCGAAAATAAAGAAAAAGAAAAATAAAAGAAAAAGAGAAAAAATAATAAATAATTTCGATTTTTTTAAAACATATTTTTATAAAAAGGGGGAAAGTGTGTGTTGGCTTAATGAGTGGGTTAGAAATGGATTCCACACTCAATCTATCAAGACCCATTTATTATAAGCTTAAAATTTTAAGATCCATTTAAGATGGGCTCTTCAAAATTGTAGTGATCCATATATAATCCATTTATTTTAAATGGATCATATATGAGTTTAAGACCCATATAACAGGTCTAAACAGGAGTAAAGGAAAATGAGAGGACAAGAGAGAAAAAATATATATTTTTGGGGACGTGTGGAATTGTGATTAGGCCTATAGAGGAATAACGAAGAACACTGATCAGTGAACGACACCTGCGGAGCAGTAGCCAACGGCGGCTGCCGCGCCGGCAGCTAATTTGAGCCATATAAAAACACAAGAGCGTGTGTTTTTGCGATAATTACACGGACTAGTACCAGAATGACTCATACAGCCTACGTTTTCTAGATCTGCACAGGATCTCATCTTGCAACTAATCGATTTCTACAAGAGAAGAAAAATGCCAGTGGACATATCGATGTTCCCCAAACACAGAGGATGGAATTAAATTAGAAACTAAACCACGAGGCTCATCGTCCACCTGAGAGAAGCGATTCTGCGACAGAAGATGAGCGCGCAGATGCCTTGTACATGGAGGACGGATAAGCCATGGCCAAATCATCAAAACCTTCACGATGAGCGAAGGTTAACCCACTGGAGGAAAGGCCGATGGACGACAATTCAGGCATCGGAAGATCGCCCTCCAAGTACTGCAAAACTTGACGCATGCTCGGCCTCATCAACGGGTTGGCGTGGGAACACGTCAACCCAAGTTTCAGCACCAACTCCATCTCTTCTTCCACAAACTCCGCCCCCAACTTCGGATCTCTTGCCTCGACAATTGCACCTCCGACCCAGCAAGAAAATACCCAGTCCACCAATAGCACGTCCTCTGCTTCCCGAAGCTCTATTGGCCTTCTCCCGCAGGCAACCTCGAGCAAGAAAGCTCCGAAGGCATACACGTCGGTGTTCCTAGTGGCCTTGCCGGTTCGCGTGTGCTCTGGGGCGAGATAACCGAGCGTTCCTACCACGTGAGTCGTTTGAGGGTCGGTTCCATGGTCATACAGTCTCGCAAGCCCAAAATCTCCAAGTCTTCCATTTAAGTCAGCATCTAGCAATATGTTGCTCGCCTTTATATCCCTGTGGATCACCACTTGCTCCCACCCTTCGTGCAGATAAAGCAGCCCAGATGCCACTCCTTTGATCACCCTGAATCTTTGCCTCCAATTGAGGGTGACCTTTGGTTGGTTATAGAGGTACTTGTCGAGGCTCCCATTGGGCATGTAGTCGTAAACCAAGAGCAACTCCCCTTTCCGGCGGCAGTAACCGAGGAGCGACACTATGTTGCGGTGACGGAGCCGACCGATGCTGATGATCTCTGCTACGAATTCTCTCATGCCTTGTCTCGATTCATGGGAGACCCTCTTCACCGCGATCTCTATCTTTGATGTTGGTAAGATTCCTCTATAGACCCGACCAAATCCACCCGTCCCTAATAGCTCTTGCTCCCAGAATCCTTTTGTCGCAATATAAAGATCTTTGAACTTGAACCGATGTGGGCCGTAGCCCCTCTCCCAATCTTCAAGGACCTCGGCAAATTTCCTTTTCCTTTTTATCACATAAACTACGCTCAAGATCAGCATCGATACAACGAAAATAGCCATCAGTGGTAGCCCTATAGTCAGTACTTTCGACGTCTCCTTCTTGCCAATCCGAGGAAGCTTAGGAAGTTGGGACCGGGCAAGTGCCTGAGCCTCTCCATTTACCCTGAAGCTCCAACCCAGAACATAGTGAGAAGTTAGGAACGAACCGGTCGATGATGAGAAGCCGACATACATGCTCTGGTTGATGATCGACGAGAGACCCTGACTAAGAGACAAAAGGGGAGTCTGCGGTTTTTGCACATTGATCGGAGCCAATGTGACATTGATCTGCTTTTCCGTGCCATCATAGTCCACCCAAACTTGCATTGCTTTACCGCTGATTAGAGTCAAGTTCTTGAACTCCCCACCGTCTGCATAATACCCCGCTGGAGTTGATTTTGCTGATGGCAACCCATTCAAGTCGATTCCGACATGATTATTGTTAATGTCCTGAAGCTCGCTGTTCAGGATCGTGTCGAGTTCCACCCCAAACACATGATTGGTGTTGTTGCCGTTGTCGGTTTCGTTGAACATGCCGAGGTATTGGTTCCCCCGGGACCCGGGGAGGCTTCTCTGGGGCGCGACCACGAAGACGATCCCATGGCCGCTCAGAGTCGCGTACTGAGGTTGAATCGCGAAGACGAACGTGGTGGAGAAGGAGAAGACGGAGCCGTTCGGCGAGTTCTTGAACCGGACAGGGTCGGGATGGAAGGCGTGGCCCTTCTGCTGCTTGGTGTGGTTGGTCAGCTTCAGGAGGCCATTGGGGGTGACCCCGGCAATCCCATCGAGGCTCAGCTTGGCCGATCGGAAACCGTTGTACACGAAACTGGTCTCGTGAGCGTAAGCCAACACTGCTAGCAGAGAGAGCACAACAAGAATCTTGAAGAACATGGCTCCAGCTCAAAAGTCTGCTCAGCAATTAGCTGAAGAAGGATGCAGTCACGAGGGCTATAAAAATCCAGAAGAATCTTTATCTTGCAACGTCAAACGAGTGGTGCATATTTCAAAAATATCTGCTCCACGTGAGTCCAATGAATTGATGAACGTCTTGGACTTTCAATGGACGAATTAAACAATGTCCTGTTCATAAGGCAAAGAGGACCTCAAGGTGAGAACGAGAGAGTTTCGATTTCATAATTATTTTGGGTAAAATGGGATTTAAAAAATCTGGATGGTCATGCACGGAAACATGGTGGTGAGCTATGTAGGACAGCCGACAATGATTAGATTGCCACGTTAATAATTTTCGAGCGAAAATTGATCGGAAGAACTATATTAGATTCTTGCGCAAAGATTTAGGACTAAATTTGTCAAATTGAAAACTTTAAACCGAATTGACATTCATCCAATAGTTTTATGATGGACTGGATATACTTTTCCCCTTTTTCGATATGTTCACTTAAAAGGTTATGGCATGATCATATTGGTCATTGTATAGTTATGCTGTACTTAAATGAGAATGTCTAACGTGGAATATGGTGAGCGGTCAATTGGCCGATGGATGTCAATTTTGGCCCTGGTTTGTGGACCATAAAATTGCTAGGTAAAAGTGGGAAAATATTAATAAAGAAATAGAAAAAGAGATGGCCACAGAACAGAGGTTGAAAATTCTAAGTGGCAATTGATTAGTCTATTCTCATAAAAGCATTGATAATTTAACCTTTTTTTTGGTCGAATTAATAATTTAACGTTGCTTAGAGCTTTTGTACAAGTCCATCGAAATTTCATTTTGTTATATATATGAGGAACAATTTGGAAGAAGTAAAATTCTTTTCTCCAATAACTGGCAAAACTGCATATGTGTGTGTGTTAAAGGATAGAAGAAAACAAATTAAATTTGTGGAGAGAGTGATAAAAATGAAAATTAATAGGGGAAAGAAAGTTAATTAGTCCATAGATGACAAATTTAAATTCAATTATAGAAAATAAGATATTTTATCTATTTTGTTATAACATATCATCACAACACAACTTAACAATCCACGTGGAATTTTATGTATTTCTTAGTGATAATTTGAGATTGAAATCAGCCGTAAAAAGTAATACATTTTTGATATAGAGAACACCCATATACTTATTAAAAGAAACTTTAAAGCTACGGACTTTATTTTTTTGTTATGGATAATAAGGGTGGGGGAGGGCGACCAACATAATTAACCTTCTTAGCATTACTATAAGGGTTTTGTCCTGTTACATAAAATTTTGTAAGTTTGTGATAGAAAAAAACTCAATGGTTTCAAATAGTAATTAAAGTTGAATAGAGGGTGATTGATGACCGATTAAATTATTTAATTCAAGTATCATTCTGTATTAATATATCAAGTGCTAAGCGCGCCTAATAATTGCGCACCCGCACTCAGGTATTATGGAGTCTAGCCCATAACCCATCGTCTTCATTTGAACATGTTAGCAGACATCTCCACTAATATAGTGGCCCATACAATCAAAACTTTCTTATGTGAGACAAAAAAAAGTACTATTTTGTTTGTTTTACAAACAAACAACCAACAGGTTATAGAAGTACTTGTCGAGGCTCCCATTGGGCATGTAGTCGCAAACCAAGAGCAACTCCGCTTTTCGGCGGCAGTAACCGTGGAGCGACACTATTTTGCAGTGACGGAGCCAACCGATGCTGATGATCTCTGCTACTAATTCTCTCATGCCTTGTCTCAATTCATGGGAGACCCTCTTCACCCCGATCACTATCTTCGATGTGCGTAAGATTCCTCTATAGACCCGACCGAACCCACCGGTCCCTAATAGCTCTTGGCTCCGGAATCCTTTTGTCGTAATGTAAAGATCTTTGGAGTTGAACCGGTGTTGGCCATAGTCCCTCTCCCAATCTTCGAGCACCTCGGCAAATTTCCGTTTCCTTCTCATCACGTAAACTACGCTCAAGATCAGCATTGATATGACGAAAAGAACCACCCATGGTAGCCCAATTGTCAGCACTTTCGACGTCTGCTTTTTACCGATCTGAGGAAGCTTAGGAAGTTGGGACAGGGCAAGTGCCGGAGTCTTGCCATTTACCTCGAAGCTCCAACCCAGAACATAGTTAGAAGTCACGACCCAACCGGTCAATGACGAGAAGCCGACATACATGTTCTCATTGATAATCGATGCGAAATCCCGTGTAAGAGACAGAAGGGGAGTCTTTGGCTTTCGTACATTGATCGGGGCCAATGTGACGTTGATCTGCTTTTCCGTGCCATCGTAGTCCACCCAAACTTGCATTGCTTTACCGCTGATTAGAGTCAAGTTCTTGAACTTGCCCCCATCTGCATAGTACCCCGCTGGAGCTGACTTTACTGATGTCAACCCATTCAAGTCAATCCCGACGTGATTATCGTTAATGTCCTGAAACTCGCTGCTCAGGATCGTGTCGAGTTCCAACCCGAACACATGATTGGTGGGGTTGCTGTTGCTGGTTTGGTTGAACATGCCGAGGTATTGGCTCGGCAAGGACCCGTGGAGGCCTCTCTGGGGGGCGACCACGATGGCGATCCCATGGCCGCTCAGAGTCTTAAACTGAGGTCGGATGGCAAAGACGACCGGGGTGGAGAAGGAGAATACGGAGCTGTTCGGAGAGTTCTTGAACTGGACTGGGTAGGAATGGAAGGCGGGGCCCTTCTGCTGTTTGGTGTCGTAGCCCAGATTCAGGAGGCCATTGGGGGTGATCCCGGCCACCTCATCAAGGCTCAGATCATCTGTTTGGAAACCGTTGTACACGAAATTGGTCTCTTGAGCATAAGCCAAAACCGCTAGCAGATAGACCAGAACAAGAATCTTGAAGGACATGGCTCAAACTTAAAGTCTGCTTAGCAATTAGCTAAAGGATGATGCACTTACGAAAGCTATAAAAGTCTAAAAGAGTCTTTTTCTTACGACATTAAACGAATCATGCAAATTTCAAAAATTTCTTCTCCATTGAGTCATATGAATTGATGAATGTCTTGGACTATCAATGGACGAATCCAGTAGTGCCCTGTTTATAAGGCAAACAAGACTTTAAAGTGAGAAAGAGAGAATGTTTTGTTGGAAAGTCCAATCCAAAAATTTAACCAGATAAGTAGAGAGAGACTATATGTATCTAAGGAATATAGACAAGAGGTTCTTTTAGCATTTCTCTCATGTGCCACCCGGCCACATGGAATTTGATTAATGAGTAAACACACAGGTGCGAGGGACAGTGAATCTAATACCAAGATAAGAATAAAACGGAAAAGAGAATTGAGTAATTTCTGTATATTCTGATTTATTATGATGAATAGTACATCAAACTTGATGAGATGACTATTTAAAGTAACAACATAATATGATATTAATTCTAATCAATCAGGATATGCACAATCAATGAGATATATGCATAATTTTGAAAAATATGGAGAATGAAAGAAAATATCTTATTTAACTCTAACACCCCTCAAGCTCAAGTGACGTCAACTGGAGTTTGAATACATCAATAATTTGATCAACTTCTGGTAGAAAAACCGGTCCAGCAAGCTAAGAACAAGTTGACGTGGTTGCGGTGCAGGGACAACATAAGAGGTCGATGTGGCTGCGGCGCAAGGTTGCAAAAGAGATTGACGTGGCTACGGCACAAGGACAATAGAAAAGGCTAACAGGCTGTGTGGTAGGCTACTAACATGATCGATTTTGAGAGAGGAATATTAGTTGTTATTGAAAAAGGGAATGGCATGAGATGAGATGTGTGTTACGAGTGTGCACCCGGTGCAATGTGAATCCAGTGCACTCAAAATCTCCTCATGATTACCTAAGATCTAATACAAAGATAGGAGTAAAGCGAAAAAAGAATTGATTAATTTGGATATATTCTGATTTATTCATATGAAGAGAACATTGTTGAGAAAACCTCCTTATATGTTTTGAAGATGAAAAAACTGTACATGATTTATAACAATTTTGATAGTTGCAAGATGTGTTTATGTTTTAGGTAATACTCACGTCGAAAAGATTCCTTGTGACTAAAAGACCTATATAAACAAGTCTAAAAGTATATGAAATTCATATATGGCTTGGGAGCATCAAGGGTTTATGACTACATAATCCACATTATGATTTCTGACGTAGATATCAACAAGTAAACTGCGTGGATATCAGTAGTTGAACTACGTGAATACTAGCAAGGTTACTAAATGGAAATCAGCTAAGTTAGTGCATGGAAATTATCAAGGATTATACTTGGATATCAGCAAGGTAAACGCTGGATATCAATAAGGCAAAAGGCTGGATATTATCAAAGTTTACTTGAATATTAGCAGGCACTCAACATCATTAGAGTTTTGACCAAAAAAAAACAAAAAACATCATTAGAGTAATGCAATGACTGAATATTAGGAGAATACTTGTTGTACCTACGATGACAATCCTATCACAAATATTGAGACTATTATTCTGAGATATTTTATCTCATCACTGATAGCTGGTGATATAGTGTGGATTCCTTTCTTAAGAAGATAATATAATGATTGACCTTCCACCTTGAGATTATCTTTGCGACATATTTAATCACACAAATTATCCTCGGTGAGGCGGGATGGGTGGCGGCCTCGCCGGCCATGGCGAGGGAGAGAGAGAGCACCGGAGCCGAGTCGGAGGAGGAAGGGGGGATTTTTTGTAATTCGTTGGAAAATTGTTGGAAATTTCCAACGAAATTTCCAACAAAATTGTATACAATGAAATAATTGCCCGAAAATTGAAATTAGTTGGAAAATTCGTTGGAAATTTCCAACAAATTTTCCAACGAATATGAAAATGCCGAACGGTACACGGTTTTTTGGAGTTCGTTGGAAAATTCGTTGGAAATTTCCAACGACAAAAATCGTTGGAAATTACCAAGAATTTTCCAACGAAAATTGTATACAATGAAATAATTGCCCGAAAATTGAAATTCGTTGGAAAATTCGTTGGAAATTTCCAACGAATTTTCCAACAAAATTGCACACACGAAAATAATTGCCGGAAAATTGAAATTCGTTGGAAAATTCGTTGGAAATTTCCAACGGAAAAAATTCGTTGGAAATTTACAACGAATTTTCCAATAATTTTGTTTCGTTGGAAATTTCCAACTAATTTTCCAATGAAAATTTTTTCGTTGGAAATTTCCAACAATTTTGCGACGAAATATAGTTCGTTGGAAATTTCCAACGAATTTTATGACGAAAATTTTTTGTTGGAAATTTCCAACGAATTTTACTTTTCGTTGGAAAATTTGTCGCAAATTTACAACGAAAATTTTTCGTCGCAAATTTTCGTGGCAAAAATCCATTTTTTGTAGTGCTAATGGATTAACAATCATTGTGAAGACAAGATTATTTCTATAATTTAAGAACTCTACTTATGGAAATCAAAATTTGTTTGTATGGGAGACCAAATCAACGGAATCTTTGATTGTTCTACTTCAATGGCTACCCTAGTTTTCTTGTCAATTGTCCAATGGCTAGCTTGGAGATTGATGCTTGTGAAAATTGTCCAACGGGAAGTTTTGGATACTAAGGAGTATATAAAAGAAGATCAAGACACCGAGGAGAGAGATAGGTCAAGAGAGCACAAATTCCAAAGTTCAAGAGAGCTTCGCATATTCTTATTTGACTTTTGTGAGATTACAATTGTAATCATTTGATAAGAAGTGACAGAGTGATAGTGTGTGCTTAGGTGTGAGATAGTGAGACTTCTCAGCCTGAGTATTAGCAACACCTACTTTTGTAGAAAAGTGCTTGAGTGTTAGTAGGCACATGCAATTGTAACTTCTCATCTATTATAGTCGAATCTAGCCAGTAGGCTGTTAGCATGGGAGAGTGGACGTATGCTTACACTAAGCCAAACCACTATAAAGCTCTATGTGCAAAGTCTTCTATCTCTATATTTACATTCCCGCTTGATAGAAATATTGCACTTACTAACTTGGATATTACCGGTTTCTGATAATACTCATAATTTGTTTTATTAACACTTGAATATATTCACCTTGACATCTCCAATTCCACAATAATTGTCAAGATCTCATGAAATCACCTATTCACCCCCTCTAGGTAATATTATTAGCCTACTTCAAACATCAACATATTTATAGGTTTTATGATATGACTGTTTAAAACAACAAGATAATATGATATCAATTCTAATTGATTAGGGATATGACAATCAAGGAAGATATATGCACAATATTTGAAGATATGAAAAATCAAATGATTTATCTTATTTATCTCTAACATCATCGAAATATCTCACATCACTTGATTATAAGGTCTATATGCTCTTTGTATACTTGTGGTATCCTCCGCCTATCAGCTAAGTTTTTGGGTTGAAGATTTTAACATGTTATAAAGGTAGGTTTGCCCTAATTTACTTTTTGTGTGTGCGCCCATTCAATTGATCAATTTCATGTGTCATTTCTAATATGGCTTGTATGTATCCCACATCACTTGATTATAGAGTTTATATGCTATTAATATTGTTATCCCCCTTCACCTATAAACTTAAGAGATTAGATGTTCTAACATACTGCATTTGCGGTCGCAAAGACTCTGAATGAACAAGTCCGACCGATACTACAGAGAACGACTTTTTGTCAAAACTAAATGTGGGGAGAGAAAGAGATTCAATGAAGGTGGGCGTGATAAAATCAAAAGCCCGTCAATTTTCTTCCGATTATAAATGTGATCGTGCCACTTGTAAGACAACGGGTCCACGAGAATATTTGAGGTAGGATAAAAAGAAAAATGGAAAGATGAAGGCCACAAAAGTCCACCGTTTCCGTCACCATTTGTAGGCTGGTCTGTACATGGTCCATGAAAGTTCGAGGAGGAAGTCTTGCTCAAACGTTTTTGGAGCTCTTGTGGTCCAAAATGAATCGCTGCCTTATTCCTGGTCTTCTTGAGACACTCCCCATGAGATATTTTGTGTACCTAGGAATGTAACAAGAAAAAGGGCATGAACACATCTCATGGTATGTGAGAACTTCAATTGAACTTTCTAGATTCACACTCAGTTTGAATGGTGTGATTAGATAGAAAAAAACAAAAGAGATTTGGGTAACAACGAGAGAGAACAAAAAGGAAAAGATTTGAAGAGGTTTAGTTCTGCTGTTGTTGAGATGCTGGCGATGGAAAAAAGGAAAAGAGTGCATTATGTTATAAACATCATAGCCAATGCTATGAAGAAACTGATTCTCTCACTCTCTCTTTCTCTTCTCTGTTGTTCTTCTACCTCTTGTTTTCTCCGCCATAGCCACTGCTAAAACTATTGGCACTCACGAGATTCGATAGATGGATTTGGCCGCCGACGGACGAACAACTTCTTGAAAAAGAGATGAGCTTTACAGTTGCCAGATCCGCTGAATCGAAGACCGTCACCAACGTCAACAGAGATGATGAACTTCCCGACCTACTTCATCACAAGCTGAATGGTTGTTGGAAAGAGATAGAGAGGGAGCGCATGCCCAATTATAGATGATGAAGAAGACTGATTCAAGCCAATCAAAACACTTCAAACTCCTTCAATTTTGTTACAATTCCTAAATTTAGGGTTAGGGTTTGACAAACATTGTGATTTAGCCCCCATTCGTTAATTTAAGGCAAACAAATGGGACAAACACATAGTTTATGCACTATTTTGCTGATTTTATTTTACCAACGAGCCATGTCAGACTGTTTATATTTAAATTAATGCAACGTCAGATTTTCCGACTATACAAATCGTTGATGGCACTCAAGTGTGCGATTTTTAGTCAATGTGGCACTCAAGTGATAAAAAAAATATTATGATCCTCGAGTGAG